AATATATACACACCAAGGGGGTGAATTAAGGTCACCTTAATACTGGCATTTCCTAACTTTTGAGTGCTTGACTTCACCATAACCTTCTGTTAAAGTAGCTTTTGTATGCAATTTATTTTATCTGTTGAGTTAGAAACCATCACAGTAAGCCCGTACAAAACCATTTCCAGCTTTCTGACATGTAGGCTATCTAAGCCAGCAAGTGGCAAGTCTGCACTGCTCACAGACTGAGAGGACATATACTTTTAGGCATGTAGCACTGCAAGGAAATGAAAACAACGATGTTTAGCACGAAGTCATGCAGTTCTTCTCCACAGAACAAAAAGGGCAGTGAAGCATCCGGGGTAATGTTGAGAAGACTTTCTCTGGAGGACTTTGACTTTCTGGAGATTCAAATCTTGTGATTTGCAGGGGTGTTTCATGCAAGGCTTAGAGTATTCATCACCATCTCTCCTCCCACTTGTGGCTTTCTCTTCAGGTACAGATGGTGGTTTGGATTTTGGGGTCATTAGAGTATTGGATGAAGCTAGGCAAATGGTGTCCCTGAAGAACAAAGGAAAATATGAGATTGGATACAGGTAAAGTACTAACTATTTCAGCGGTGTGATGTATAAGCATTTGATGTCCCCATCAGTCCAGTCTTTCATTCCGTTATTTCCCTTGATATAACCTCTTCTTGGAATGACTAGATCACAATCCGGGTAAGTAGCAAAGCTCAGAGGTCACCATTTTCAAATATTCAACACACCAACAACTGTATGTTACACAGCGTGACAACTGAAGAAGAAACACAACAAAATGTAAATTATTCCCCAGTGGGCATGGCTGTGATTTATATTTATATTCAATGGTGAGCGCCCCTATGGCTGAGTGCATGTGCCTGCACTCTCTCTCACGGGCCTTCTGGCTGCAGCTCTCCCGCTGGGCACTACAGTTCAGTTCCCCCTCTGGGGTGTCTCAGTGGCCAGGCCACTTCCCCCAGTGGCTATTGAGGGGTGGGGGGACTTGGGCACACCCACTACTCCGGGTCCCAGCCCAGGGACCCTATAGATCGCAGCCATCTGCTGTGTCCCTTGAACTATGTCACACCGCTGCTTTAATTCCCTGGGCCTTTTCCCCACGGTGCCTTCACCCTTACCTCAGGGCCTTGTCCTAATGGAGTCCCAGCAA